GGCCCCCTGCAAAACAGCAACTGACAGTACCTCTTGGCAACAGAGGTCCACACACACACACACAGTTCCCTCTCTCGCTCTTTGTTCTATTTCTCTCCTTAACAGGAACAACGGGGACCCTGCACCGGGGTAACAAACCACCGTGGGCCATGGAAAACAGCCGGTTTTTTCCTTTCCGCGTTTCCGGCCAGATTACGTCTCAGGGCCCAAGGAAAACAGCCAGGTGTCAAGGATTTCAGACCCCGCCCGGGGCTGCTTTCCCGGGGCCCTAGGATTGAAGCAACTACTGTAACGACCCCCAATATACAAGACCTCGTCAAGAAACTTCTGTTCTTGACGGATCCGTAAACTTACTGTGCTGCTACAGCAGTTCGAGCATATGGTTTTTCTTCTGTGTTTGCCTCTCTTGGCATCGCGAAAATGGAGGACTTTGTTCACGCCATCCGTCGCACAGACTCGGAGGTCATGCATGATCAACATTTGGACGGTTGGCCAGTGCAGCTTTGTTGAATTTTTCTTTCACCCCATGGCCACACGACGGAACCGAGTCTTTTCGCCGTCGTAAAAGCAGAGCAGAATTATTTGAGCAACCCTCTTATCGAACCTGACCTACTCAATGGAATCTCAATTCTCGGCCACTGTGTCCTACTGTGCCAGGGCAGGTTCCATCCATGGGTCACAAGTTCAGGACGCCGCTGACGCTAAATCTCATTTTGGCTGTTGCGCTAGGGAGGTGGGTTATGATTCTTATTCGCAAGCGGAAATGTTGCAGAGGAAATGGAAATTTCTGATATTCGCAACAATGGTGTTATCTTGGAATGGCCGACGTTCAATGTGGAACTATTTGGATCCGCGACGCGCTCACGATGACAACACTTTGCAGAGATGGGCATTCACGGCCCATCCTCGGATGGGCTCGTGGCTACAGTGCCCCTGTTGTTGCATGCAATGTCCACGCTTGGATCAGACACGGCGCAAGTTCGGTACTGTTCGTGTGTTTTCCGTGGGCGTGCCTCCTGCGTCCATGTTTGAGGACGATGGACGACGGATGACGATGGTTCGTGTCATGCCGTTTCGATGGTGATTCTGTCCTTGTTAATGTTGTTCTGTTAGTTCCCGCTGCCGGGCACATGAGCGTGTGGTTTTTGCAAAATTGTTTGGGCGCATTGTTTGTTGAAATATGTGACATGCTGCTGCGAAACGCAAATGAACGTTGTCTTCCTTGAACATGTACGCTGCTGCCTACAACAAAAAGGGCACCAGCGCTGAATGCAATATGGTGCAATAGTTTGGTGGCGTAGCCCCTTTATCGCTACACCGGCCCTTGAACACCAACCTGTACAGGAACGGTGCGCGTGATATTTCACGCCATGCTGCCTACGTCGTACATGTTTGCGAAGAAGCTGCGGCGTGTGAACCTTATTGCCTGTCCCATTCGAGCCAATGTTTGCTATGTTTGCTACCGTTTCGCATTGGAGCTTGTGAAAGCCAGTGAGTGCTGCTTGCGTAGGCTGCGTAATTGTACAAGTTGTTCAGCTTGCAAGCCGAGTTTTTTTTCCGCACCGTTTTGCGACTGCAATTCAAAGAAGGTCCAGGTCCCGGTGCCACCTGCGGGCTACGGCGGGCGGCGACACTCTAAGACCGGGCAAGCAGGCGGCTGGGTTGAGGGGCCTCTTGCCAGCTGCGCCGAGCTCGTTGTGTTACATGCGTTGATACGAAACAGGGTTTGTACCACCAATCGCACACGTGCACGCACGCACACGCACCCACACCCCCACCCCCACCCCCACCCATACCCCATGCACACACGCACACGCATCTAAACACTTGCACGGCATGCGCACGAAAGCCAATTCGCACACGCATTCACTCACGCACACACACACACACGCACACACACAGAGACACACACACACACACACAGATACATACATGCACATGCATTCACAGTTATTCATTCTGGCAAACGCGGCATTTGAGCCCCGTGCGATTCCAACGTTGGGGTTGAGCCACACAGCTTCACAATTATGTCGACCCAATGAGCAAAACATCCGACGTGATTCTTATAGTTTATAGCCCTTGGTGCATAAGTTTGCGTGACACCTTCGTGAAAGAGTTGTCGCACAGCGTGAACACAGTGGCGAAGTCAGCCGTGTTCACAAGAAGGATTGTATCGACTGTTCCAGTACGGTTCCTGTGCCGCGGCTCCATGTGCGTCGAGGCAGGTAGTCCCGGGTCCGTGAGCGTTCGGTCCGTCCTGCCGTCCTGCTTCAGGCCTGGCAGATTTTTCGTCTCGCACATTCGATTCCATGCACGCAAGCTGCGACGAGACTATATGTATTTGTAGCTATGTGCCGCGGCAAGCGGCTCGGCCGGGCCTCGGCGGGAGACGCTCCTCACCAAGCGGGCATAGCTACTTGAGAAAAAGAAGTAGTGCACGAGACCTTGTATGCAGCAGAGAGTGTAGGGGGCCTGCGCGTGCACGATTGTTACCCAACGCGAGCCTGCTGGAGCCACGACATCGACAACGTATAGAGCACGTACATCTTCTGGAGGGCATCGCAGGCTGACTGCCATGAGAGGTCTGCCACTGGATTGAAGATGTTGATTTTGTTGACGCCCGTTCGCTCCTGCACGACAGCAAAGAGCACTTGCTCCTATGCAGAGCTGGCGACTGTGGGAGACTTACGGACGTGAAATATGATATCGGACAGATGGTTCAGCTAACAGACAAAACTTCGTGATGTTTGGTCTGGGAGATCGAATCCATGCTGTGCCCCCCGATGCTAGTTTCGCTCATGTCCATGATGCTCGCTGTAAAAAGTGCCCCTCGGGCACTCACGAACTCGTGATCCCAAGAAGAGAAGACAGATCCCAAGAAGAGAAGGCAAAGATTTCGCTAGATTTCACGGGCGGTTCCGGTATGCCGGGCACCATTGGTAACAGTGTCATCATTGTCCGGGAGGACAGCATGTTGCTGAACCCGTACAATGTGCGCTTCTTCTGTGGCAGCCGAGGAACGTCCCCCAGCGCGAAGAGTGTACCGAGTTTCTTGCAAGCTCGACAATTGACAGCTGGGGCATCCAGTCCCTCGGGCCAGCAACATTGTATCATGTGCCATTGCTCGATGTGATTATGCTTGGTAGCTCCACGTGTCCAAAATGTTTGCGTTGTAAACGCTTGCAGGAAGCGGCACTCTCAAGGGGAAGGCCAACTGCATTGAGTAGTCTGTCGCCCTGGCCGGCGCGAGTTCGTGAATACACGTTTTCCGTGACAGGTAAGTCGTCGGCGCCGTGTGGGATGTTGCCGCTGCACGAAGAGGGTGGGACGCAGCCAGTTAAGCTGTTTATGCCGTGTGCGTTTTTGGCGATTTGCACGTCCAGGGCAGGCACGCCATAGGAATCTGGACAACGCACGGGCAACTGTGAAACCAATGCGAGGTGGTGAAGTGCATCGCCCAGGTCCTTTGGAAGAACCCTGACTGCTTCCAACTCATAAGTAGTAGTGGGCATGCGTAGAGAAAGCCAAGAGAAAGAGATTAAAGATGCGGCTGTGCAGTTCTGCAACTTGCATGGGCCGCGCCATGCTGAGATGAACTCTGACAGAACTTGAAGTTTGTGCATTCAGGATCTTGAAATTCATTGGTTGGACCATCATCCGCATCATTTGCCGACGGCGCTTGAGAAGGCCAGTGATTCTTCGCCATGTTTCGCTACTTGTAGAGCGTTTGGACTGTTCTTTGGCCGAGGGCTGCATTGGAGCGCAACCAATGGATCACCTTCAAACCGCGCCCGGACCGTTTGGATGACATCGCGCAGCGGGAGGCCATCGGTGCTTTCGCTGCAAGTGTATTCAGACTGACGAATTTTGACGATTGACCTTTAGGCAGAGTACCGGGAACACATCGTGAAAATCTACAATGCCCGTGGTCTTCGCGGGCGACTTCGATGAAATAGGGGAGATGGGTCGGTCGATGAGCATTTCCGTGCGTCAGATGCAGGAGAGCGATGCACATTTGCTTGATGTTTGTTTCTAGCATCAATTCCTGACATGGTTCGCTTTGGTATGTCGTACTTAGGCGTACGATTCTTTACCGGCTTCTGACGCTTGGCTTTGGCAGCACCACCTGTGTGATATGATTGACGAGATGTCATGAAGTTGGCAAAGGCACGTTGAACTAGGTCCCGACGTGTTCGCTATATCCGGATGCGGGTTCGAGAAGCGCTGGCCGAAGTCTTCGGGGCCCGTGATCCTGCCGCCCCGCAGCAGTTCATAGTAAGATATGGTGGATGTGAATCCGCATCTTCGAGTGAGAAGTGAGTTGGCATTACGACATGCCAGGTTTCAGGTGTTCCAAATGACCTGCTGGAGCGCTACCGTTTGCTGAACGTGCTTGGAGAGGGACCGCACGGACAGGCGTGACAATGACATGGCCTGCGGATGCCAGCTGTTGCACACACCCTGGCTGGCAGGTGTTCAGCGCCTGCTGGAACCAAGAGGGTGACCCGGAGGAGCCGGCCCTCGCTGGTCCTGAGCAGCGCTCGTTTCAACAACGCTGCTGTGAACAGATGTGAAGAGGTTGTTGTACACGGCATGTATCCATCGCAAAGCTAGGCAGCAGTTTGTTTGCCCTTGCTTCACAATTTTTCGTCTACGAGCATCAGCAACAGTACTCTACTGCCTGGAAAGCACAGTGGCTTGCAAGGAACAAGGGTTTTGGCCTGGGGTTAACATCAACCAATGCTACTGCCAACCCCCACTGTTGTAGTGTGCCCTGGGTGGGGGGGGGATGGAGTGCTTGTCAACTAGGCGTGTGGTAGACACGACACCAGCGCTTCCAGCTGAGTTTCAAGAACGGCTTGACTCAACACGGTGCGCTTCATTCCCAGGCCCAAAGAGAAAGTCGCGACTAATTAGGCGGACCGCAGAAGGGTTCAGATGGTCGACCCCGCCCTGACCGTGCCATGTACGATGCATTCGCAGTGAGGAGTTGACGAAGCAAGAGCTGAAGAAGGGCCGCCTTGTTGCCATTCGGATCCGTTCCTTGGTTATGCCTGTAAGGGGAGCCAAGTGATCAGTGATAAGCTGCCTTTTTGATCATATGCCAAAGAGATACACAGTGAAAAATTGCGCTTGGAGTTGAGAAAGGGATCATGCAGCGAGCATATTCGGCATTCTGCTGAACATTTCTGCAACAAAACTGTCCGGCGGGTTGATTATGCGGATGCATCACAAGGTGTTGATGCCTTCACACTGCTCGCTTCCGATCAACCCCTCCCGTCCCCACATCTCCTCCCCCCACGGCCACGAGGGAGTTTGGTTGGCTTCTTGCTCAGGCGACAAATCCACGGGACACATTGTCAGGCGCGGATGGAAACTATTATCATGTTCCGTCCAGTACTACTATTACCGCCACCGCCACCACCACCACCACCACCACTGCTACTGCTACTCCTGCTGCTGCTGCTGCTACTACTACTACTACTGCTGCTACTACGACGACGACTGCTACTACTTTTGCTGCTGCTGCTGCTACTACCACCACCACCACCACCACCACCACCACGACGACGACGACTACTACTACTACTACTCCGACTACTCCGGCGACTGCTACTACTGCTACTACTGCTACTATTGCTACTGCTATTGTATTGCTACTGGTACTGCTACTGCTGCTGCTACTTCTACTACTGCTACGGCTACTATTGCTACTGCTACTGCCACTGGTACTGCTACTGCTACTGCTGCTGCTGCTGCTGCTGCTACTGCTGCTGCTGCTACTGCTGCCGCTGCTGCTACTACTCCTACTAATGCTGCTGCTACTGCTGCTGCTACTGCCACTGCTACTATTACTACGACGACGATTGGGTCTGCCTTCGGGTGATCGTTGATGTTGCTGAACTTGCACTTGCCTGCAGTTAGTTCCAAAAATCTGTAGTGGGACAACTAGTGTATAGAAACTAGCCCTTGATTGAAATGGATGAGTCTGCGGTCATCTGTTGGCAGACGAGAGTAGTCGTTTTCCCTCGAAGTGTTGCTTGAGCGCCTGATGGGTTTAATTGGATTACGTTCCTGATCACTACGTCTGTCTATGTATCTATCTCTGTGCCTATGTATCTATCTATGCATCTATGCATGTATCTATCTATCTATCTATCTTTTTTACTTCTCTAACTATCGATCTATGATTCTTTCTATTCTATCTTCCTATCTATCCAGTACTACTACCTAGAAATGCTCCGCGCCAGGATGGACCTCAACTTCTCAGCGACGCTTCTCCGCAACCGCGCCCTGCCTTGGCCCCCCGCACTCCGCTTTTCGGCAGAAGAGAGAGAGAGAGAGAGAGATAGATAGATCTTTAGGCGTCTCACTGTCAAATGATCGTGTTTGGAGCGTGGGCAGGACGTGTTTTGTGGGGCAGGTGCTGCATCAACTGTGAGACTGCGATTGCTCAGCTGACGCTAATGCGACAAACGCCGACGAACTTCAACCCTTGGATTCCAAATGAAATGCAGGCATGCTGCGGAGGCTGCTCGCAAGGCTGCGCTTGGTCAAGCGGCCTATTCTCCACGTGTCCCAGCACAAGACCATTCGGAGTGCATTCCGCTCAGGTAGTGGCTTCAAGTGTTGCGGCCCAAAGAGTCTAGGTCTAAACATGTCTTAACTTGAGATCGGCTGTAAAGCCCCCATGCGCACTAGTTCGTCCTTGGTTTGCGCTCTGAGGAGACCATCGTGAAGCTTCAGCATGTGGAGGACACACGTGAGTTCTTCATCGAGGCCGCTTGGCCAGCACAGGAGCAGTTTAGGGATGTTTAGGGTAGCAGGCTGAGGATCCACGTGCGCTTGACGAAAAGCCGAGGTTTTGGAGTACCTGCCAGGTGGCACCTTGTACCAGTACTTGGAGAAGAAGGCAGGGCGGTGTTCGAGGTTCCTCGGAGCGATTTCCTGTGCTCATAGGCCCTGCTTGGGTTCCCTTTGCATTGGCATCGTGATTGGGCTTTTGCGTAGGAAGAGCACCTGTTCGCCCAGGGAATGAAATACTGAATGCCAGGAGATGGATCCCATTTTTTGAAGCTGAGCTTTTGGCACGTGAGCGGCGCAGGAGATGCTGGACGAATACACTGCCTGCCGCCAGGGGCCCGAGAATGTGCGTGTTCAGAATCTTGCAAGGATCCTCCCATAGATCCGTTTCAGCCGTGTTTCGCACAATTGTGCACATGATTCCAGGCTGTCGCTCGTTCAATGCACGAACTCAAAAACAAAAAGCTAGTACTGTAAGGCCGGCCAAAATCTGAAGTTTCAAGGACCGGAGAGAAGATTGCACCCAGGTGTTTCCCTCCGTATCCTGAAGGCTCTTGATCATCTGCACGCCCGGCGATTACTGTGGCTCGGCTGCAGGAGGTGTTTCAGGGACAGAAAGTGGTTGCAAGGCCCAGTTTTCAAGATCCCAGTTTACACACTTAATCTTCTTAGCGAGCCCCACTGTACTTGGGAGGATCGGTGTTCTGCAACGCACGGGACGATCAATTGCTCGCTCGGGCATCAGCAAATTCCGGATCCAGGTTTCAAAACGCTGTAGATCTCTGCATGCCGACAAGCCCTCAGCTCCGAGCCAACAGAGGCATCGAGACCTTCGCCTTCAGCAGTTCGTCCTGGCGGAAGCTGACGACCCGGAAAGTTGATTCTTGGATCGTGATTCGCACACAGTAGAAAAGGATAAGAAAGGCTTGGGGTCTGCCTTGGCTCTTAGGGGGGCTTTTCGAGCTGCGGTTTGCGGCGTCCGAGAGCTTGGGCCTGAGGCAAGCTTGCAGATCTTTGGTGTTTGGCCGCGCTCCCGCGCAAGAAGAACTTCATGGTCGAAGAGGGCAGGCCTCGGCCAATCAGGTCTTGCCTTTCGGGTACCTGGTGCTCTTGGTCGGGGCCTGTCGGGGGTTGAGGGATGGGTGTTTAGGAAGTTTAGGTGGCTCAGAGTTTCGCGTAGGGATAGTGCTGGCGGGGCTTTAGGTTTTGTGTGAAAAGGCCTGGGCTGATGTACAATCTGGCGTTTACTTAAGGTCGGAATGAGCTTCAACCCCCACTACAGTACTAGGGCCCGGTGCCCCCGGTGGTTGACGTGAGCTCGAAGAAACCATGTCGTATTGCGTAACGGTCGTAGCCGAGTCGTAGCAGCGATCACGCAGGGAGTTGAACCCTCGCTTTCGAGAAACTCTGCAGGCCAAGCCCTAGGCTGTGTCTAGGGTTGCGAGACCCCATCTCCCATTCTCTCCCCTCTCGTCATCACTGCACAGAGGCCGTGCGACTTGCTGACTGCTGCCCCCGAAGTGGTGAAGCAAGGGGAATTCAGCCGCTCGCCCTCCCTTGCGGGAGCCACAAACCACCGAGACCAGGTAAGCTTCCGCAGCTGAGCTCGAAGAAATGCTTGCAACAAATCCATCAGTGACCCTCTGATCAAGACTGAACTGCTGCTACGAGCTCCGAGCCTGAACGTTGTCGGCGCCACGGTTCTTCGAGCCCTCAACTGAATGGTCTTGTCAGTTCTGAGCACCTGAGGTGCAAAGTCGGACGTTTGGGCCGCCGGTTGTGTGATTTTCGAACTGCTTCATGGGCACCCTCCGTTCGGAGGCACTTCAGGGCAGTCAGGAGTGCACCCCACACGTGCGTCCTTACAGCTCAGTACTGTAGAAAAAGTGGGCGACGACTGTCAGTGTTGTCTGCCTGCGGAGGTTGGGGTTGATCCATAGTTATTACCACTGGTTCAAGAAGCGCATCACAGCAGGCAGGAGTAGATCAGTTATACACATATAGTTGATTTTGATTTAAATTCAACTGCAATAGTCACAGCAGTCCACATGGCAATGACACCAGACGTGCTTGCTAGCAACAGAGGGAAGGGCAGCAGCGGCGATACCAGCAGCAGGCACAAGATTGAAGCGGCAGAGCAAAAGCGAGAACATGCAAGCCGCAACCGTCAAAGCAGCAGTGCAGTTCTTAGACCGCGGTAAAGCTTACAGTTATAAGGGTTACTATAAAAAGGGTCAGACATGGCAAGTTCCTCAAATTTGCAGCTTCGCAGGCACTGGGAAGGCCCTGGTACAACGCATTTGCCTCGGAGAGCCGGAGTTCAGCGAGCTCGGAACCTCCACCGGAGGCAGCCTCTTCAAAAAAGGAAGAGGGTTGACTTCAAACGCGTGCCGGTTGGACATGATAAGATCAATTCATGTCTCGCTGTCCTTGCAGTCTTTCAGTTGGTCTTGGGTCGCATGCGATTGTATTGTGCGGCACGCAGGTCGGCAGTGCGCATGTTCTATTGAAGCTGTTTGGCACTGTTTGGATGTTCAGCTCGGGAGCTTGAAGTTCAGGTCCGGCGAGTCTGCTGAAATCACGTCGTAGCTGTTGAAGGAATTTGGTTCCAGGGCTTACAGCTCTGTTGTCACTTGCGACTTGCGCCTTGCCTCTCGAGTCCCTCGACATTCTGTGCCGGCTGTTGGGGTGTATGGGATTGCTTCGTGCTCACGCCGTGACCATCGGTTGTCTTGTTGATTTTCTTACCGTTACTCGTTGCGAATCTGCCGTGTGCTTGCTCTATATCCTTGCCTTTCTTGACTTTCCTGGATAAAGATGCTGTTTACTGATGAAACAGGATGCCTCTGTCGTCGTTCGTGATTGCTGGCTTCCAGCTTTGTCTTGAAACAGCACTGGAAGTGTGCAGCGTGATGACAACATTCTGGGTTTGGCATGTGGCGATTCCAGTTTTAGTGCTCTGTTCCAGGGACTCGTCTGGAATATTTTCGGTTTGCGACTCGAGGGGCTTCTTCCGATGCACTGGGAGTTGGGTGTCGGGGCCCACGTGCTGTGAGGCCTCTCAGAGAATGCCTTGGACCTCCTCCGCTGGATGCCTGCAGCTCAGATTTCTAGCCTTTGCAGCAGCTGCAGAGGGTCTTTATATGTCTGTATGAATAAGCTTAGGCTTGGACTTGTTCATTCGAGACTTCGGGATTGGGATGAAGCGGGAAGGGATTTAGGCAACCGGCACCAAGCAACCGCCGAACGCTTCATTCGATAATCACTTGCTAGCTTCACCGCGATCTCGCCTCAAGGCTTCAACGCGAGCCCGGGCATCGGCCATCGGTATCCGAGTGCTTGCCGCTCGACTATGTGAAAGCCTTCTTTGAACAACAGTTCGTGGTGCCAAGAAACAGGCATATAATATCAACATTGATGAAACAAAAAGATTGACTTCACTAACCGTCATGGAATGGGAAAAATAGCCTGCAGCGGATGGAGAGAGTGAGCTCCCACCCCGAAGATGGGCCGAACACTCTGACTGGACTGATGCTGATGCCTTTGAGGGGTATAGGCCTTCGGCCAGTGGCCGAGGGTCTCAGACTACAAGTAGGATGCTTGAGCGGGCTTCAGGAGCAGTCTTTCTGTTTGCTGAGGCTGCAGGATTTGATAGTCGTGTTGGGCCGTGGGACTCATTGGGGGACTGTCAGTCTCAGGTTATGCAAAGTTCAGTTCATGCAGGATGTGCTTGCATTTTGGATTTAGACAGCCGAACCGGATGGAGAAAGTATGTAACTGGAGTCAGGGCTTCTAAAATTCGGAGTGAGCAAGGCTGATCACCACCATTAAAAGCACAAGCGTGGCTAGGCGATGTGTTGCGACTCCTTATGGTTTAAGCCGTAGTCAGTAGTCCGGAACAAACGAAAGTCTCAAGCACCGGTTTGATGGTTTACAGGCTCTCAGAGCTTTAGTTTGCCACATTGATGCACCTCTCCCTTTCAGGCTGTAGTGATGTTTGTTGTGAAAGTTATGGCCGGATGCAGTGTAATGTAGATGAAGACAAGCCGAAGCACTTGTCTCGCTTCATTCGGATTCCTGTCTTTCACATGTGTGGGATAGGTTCATCCGAACTACATGCCCGATTCCTTCCAAGTCCCAAGCGAAGCCAGACGAATCCCCGGCTACTCGTCCCAGGAAGCATCCGTGGTTTGAAGGCTACAATGTGGAGCGCCCCAGCAAGCAAGTGTGGCAGGCTCCGGGAGGGCTTGGCGGGCTTTGTTTAGAAGTGCCACTTTACAGTCTGGGCTTTGGAGAATCTCGGGGCCAGCTGTTAAGGGAAATGGCTTCGGGCCTCACACTTGACCCGAGTGGTAGTGCCTAGCCGAAGCCCTAGAATCATGCGGGTATGTTTACGGCTTGCTGCGTTCGCCTTTACAGCAGAGACTGCTGAATGTGTGCAGTGACAGCTGGTGAGGACCTCGCCGGCTATATATCAATCAGTCTCCTCTTCTTGCACAGGATCTCACGATCGCTTGAAGGCATGCCAGCCTGAGTACACACGGTACTACAGCACCAAAACTCAACAACATTTGGAATGCTCTGGAATGTGTACTGCTGGAGCCCTAGATATCCCAAGCCGTCGCCGACAACCCATAAACCACAAATCCGGAAACGCAGAAAGCTCCATGTGCAGGTTGAAAAGCTGATCCGCCACGTCAAGCGCCATGCCGGCAACAACGGGAATCAAAATAGTCCTATTGCCATGGGCCACCAAGGTTTGCAGGGTTGCAGAATCTGATTTCACTCAGTTTATCAAGCTCTTTCGGCTGCCGCTTCTCCGCGGACGGTGCCCGACCACAACCGAAACCACGGGAGAGCGAGGAGACAGTAGCACCACCTCCGGGCAAGCAACTACTAGCTGACTAGCTAGGACCTAGACAACAGGAGAGATGTTGGCTCCACGACGCCGATTGCGAACAAGGCAAGATCGAAAGCATGTCGATAAGGGCTCCTGCAGCCCCGAGACCTCAACATGCTTCGAAGCCTCTTGAACTGTTGCTCAACACCCAAGTTTCACTTCCATGGAGCCAGAACTGCGCACCCCAAGTCTTCAGCAGTAGTGCTGAGTCCTGATCCTTCAACAGCAATCCTGACATCACTCTGCTTGGCCCACTGAGGCTGTGGGGAAAGCCGCCCCACTCTCGGCAAAACCTCCCGGCCTCGAATCTCCTAGCCTCAAAGCGCGGCGCTGTGACTCCTGGCTTCTGTCACTTGGCCAACATCCCAGTTTTTCTGTCGTTTCGATCGTGCCGCATGTCGAAGTTGCAGATAACGGCATAGTCATTGCATATTCGTTGCTTCCTTTGGGGAATCTGGCTTTCGCCAGGCCGGCTTTGAAGTCTGAGGTGTTTGAGTATTCGGTTGAAGTCACGATGAGTGACTAGATACTGTAGCCGCTGCAATGGAAGGTGTGGCACCCTGTATTCGAAGTGGTCAATACGCTTCCAGCAGAGCAGGGGCGCAGAGGGTGCAAGCAAAGAGTGTTGTCTGCACTTTTCAGGTACTTACATGGGCGCCACCTCGGTCGACATCGACTTCGAACCCTGATTGAACACAGAACACGATGTGAGACGATTGCTTGCCAGGTTCCTGGCAAAAGACTGGGTCTTCATGCAGTAGATATCGCACGTTTTTGTGAGTAAGTCGGCCTCGGCTCCTCTATTGATCCGTGTGAGAAAGCCCAGGGTGCAGGGTCCTTGTCGCACCCTTACTGTCAGCGCCACAGCAAAGGGCGGGGTGCATAGCAGCTTTGTGGCTGAAGCCGCGAACTTCTCCAAGAACTCTGCATACTGTAGTCCTCACGACATTTTAAACTTGGTAAGCTGAAACACGCATCCAAATTTACAAACACTTGCACTCTGCTTGTGTTGCTGTCATAGCTGCTACTGGCACTCTTGGTGTCGTCGTCGAATGCCTCATACTACGATGCATACCTCTTGTATGCCTGCTGTGGTTATGTTAGATTTTAAACAATCCTGGCTAACTGCGACCATTATCACCATCAACACCCCTGGAGAAGGACATGCCCGATCTGCATGAAGTGCATGGTTTATTGCTCGTGATGCCTCGACACCCCGCGGAGCGGCCCCAGCAAGCGACAAAAGACAAAACGAGGACTACAAGCCTTTACTCCGGAACTGCTGCTGCTACTAGCACGAGTCCACAAAAGGACAAAGGCTTGGTGGCCTGGCTGTTCTTTGGTTTTTCGCATGCCAGGAAGTCATCGGCAAGACGGAGGAGCAGCAGCCCCTTTAATGCGGTTCCTACTTTGTTCAGGCTGTGGGGCATGCCCATTACTACAAAAAAGCGGATGGTCATTCTGGTCGAAGTTTGATGGGGGTCTATTGCAGGGAGAGTACGAGCATCTTGCGTGGTAGGACGGCTGGTGCTATGCTTGCACGGTGTATTTCTGTTGTGTCGTAGCAGAACGCGCGGCAGCGGTAGCAGTAGCCTTTTAGTCGCATTGCAGTCGTGGCATCAATCATGTCCTTGCACCTTCAGCGGTGTCTTTGGCTACCTTTATATACTGGCAGCCGGGCAGTGCCCAGCGTAAGACAAGCGACAACGAGCCTCAGAACCCCGAAACGCACCAACCGTTTGTTTCCGCATCAGAAATCTCCCAGTTTGTTTGATTGTTAACGTTCTTCAGCCGTCGCTGTGTAATTCCAAGAGTGCATCAACCGAGTCCTTGAACTTCTGGTCTTATGAGGACTGGCAGCTCCCATACCCAAAAACCAAGTTTGTCATGACACATGCCTCGCTGCCAACATCCCCACGAAACGTTGTTTGGCAATAGCCTGCAGGGCCGCGGTTTGCCTTCCATGCATCCAAGGTATTGGGTGACGAAGTGCCTTCTATCGCTTTGGGGCCGGGAGGCGACGCCCCCTAGCACCGGCTAAAGTCTCCACAGCGCGCGTGTGTCTGGTTGGGCATGTCGTTTCAGCTCAGCGACTGCCACAACTGTAAGTCTGGCCGGGTTGTTGCCAACGTGTTATTTGCAACTGCTTGTTCATTGTCATGGCTGTGTTGACTGTTGTTTTCCACTCGCATGCTCTCGAAATCCTGAGCTTATTTTGTCTTTCTTCATGCTTAGGAAGCTTGCAGGCGCAAGGAGGGTTTCCATTACGACGAGCAGCCTATTCCGACCCATGCATAGGTCTACGGTAGTATTGTATGTTTGCCTCATGCACAAACAGCAGAAACAGAAATACCGCCCATCAGAAGATCTGACATCACAGTTTCCCGCAGCTCCGGCAAAAAGCCTCTCTCCCAGCATGTTTAAGTCCAACTTCGCCATGTACAGCTCCAAGATTTTCACTCACCTCTCAAAGCCAACTCATCGTAGCGGCATGCAGTCCGAAATGTCCGAACTGCGATAGTGTTGGCAGACTGAGCTGGGCCGAAAAACCCAATTGCTCAAGATCGGATGGCAGGAGAACCCACGGCAGGTGCAGCTCAAGGTGCCGCAGTCGACGCCGGGTTTGGGCAACTGCTTCGAATTGAGGAAAGCATTGGGGGGCCTTTTGAAGGGTCGAGTTCCAGGTCTGAGCTCCCGTGTCCGGACTCTAATGTCAAAGCTGAAGAGCCCCCCAATTTTTCCAGGAAGGCTCCTTTGTAAAGCTGTCGCCTTCAGCTTGGCAGGTCTGCGTGAAGCCGGGAGCTCCCTGGGTCGAGCTGGGATCCTGCACACTGGACGATGCTACGGCGCTGGAGGAGCTTCGGGGCTTCATGGAAGAGCAGGGCAGGATTCTAAGCGCAAACATGCGCAAACCGTCGAGTAGATGGTGCCTGTAACAACTGGAAGTGAAATTGCTCCTAGACACACGCGACGTTGCTATGCCCACGTGAGCGCTGCAACAGCCACCAGTGCGAGTGCAGGCGGCATGTCAGACATTCTTGCATGATTCTTGGTCGCACGCTCCTTGGTAAATTGCCGGAGGCATCGATCAAGATCGACAAGCCCATCCGACACCTGTTCTAATTCAAGTTTGCTTGCAGGGGCTGGACTTTTCGTTCCAGTGCCAAGCTGCCCCTCTCGACGCGTTCCATGCTTGCGTCAAGATCCGTCTCATGCACAGACACTCCCGGCGGCACCTTGAGCCCGCAGTACATCAGGTATATCATTATTCAGGCAGAATAAGCTCCACAGTGCTTCCATTATCCCATATATACTTATTTCATAGCTGAGGATATGTGCGCATATCATTGCGGGGCAATCTGGGCGGCCACTTCGGCATCGCCGTGCGGAAGGTGCACCTTGCGAGAGCGGGAGGGCTTCAGTGTGGCTGAACAAAGAGAGTGGGCCTGGGGCAAGCAGACTGAATGTGCTCCTGCTGTGCGGGGTAATTATGGGGCATTTCAGGGTAGGAGGCCGAAGCCTCCCAGTGCCTTCTCTAAATCCAAAATATGTCAAAATTCGGCCCGACAAACCCAGTTTCCATGCACTGCATAACATAACTTGTGATGCCTGCTTCCATGAATGTGGAACCTCGAATGGCCTCGTGTGCCTTCCACAGCATCCTCGTTTGGCAGGTCTCTTTCTATGGCTACCAGGTGCGACAGGCCAGTGCCTGCGAACATGACACTTTGCACAGGCATCGATTGCGTGTAGGACGAAAGGTCAGGTGTTGTGAAGTGCAGAGCACATGAGATTTCATTTTCGCGATGTCCAACATCTGTCGAGCATGCACGAAAGTGACCCCATAGGAAGGCTCGGCCTTCATGTTGGACATCCACCGGATCATCCTGCCTCATTGGTCGTTGCCCACGGAGGTCTTTGGAAACCAGATAGGGGAGCACCACCCAGTGTTTAAGTCAAGCTTTATGCCGTAGTGGAATGGGTTTACCCAAAACAAGCGAGACGACGCAACATCGCGGCCAGGTTCCGATTGCCTTGCAGCTGGAAAACCTGCGCTTCCTCCGTGGCAGCCGCCTCCACACCCATGCTTCAGACATCCACCCCAAAGAGGCCTTGTCGCTCCTTTTTATGAGCTGTCCACACGCATGGGTCCGCAGTCGACGCTGAGTGGTTCCACATAGCGTCAAGCAGTACTATATATAGAGCTTGTCTTGGTTGGTTTCCGCCGGATGTCTCAGTCAGTCGCATGAATCGCGACGTGCTGTTCTTGAGTTTGGGTGCGCGCGAGTTGGGCTCGTGCGCATGCACCGTGCCAGGACCTCAGGATGTTTTGGGGAAAGGCTGCTTCTGCGTTGTTCTGTGTTGGGCAGAACTACATCGCAACATACCTGAAAGGGTAGACTGCATTGGACAGCCCACGTGTGGTGTTGGATGTCCAATATCCTCTGATTGTCCGATGCCCGCATGCTTTTGCCATTCCCATAGATGGACTTCAAGGGCGAGTGCCCAGAAAGGCTGAACTAATCTTCCTGCCGCGGCGACTGAGGGGCTTGTATCGATAGCTACGTCACGCATACGGCTTCTGCCAAGTTCAGGGACGGCCTTGGGGTGATGGCCAACACCAATCGGTGAGCCTGGCGCAGGTCACATCGCGCGTGCACAAGCAGCATGGATGCGCTTGGAGGGTGTTGCCTCTATGAAGCTGAGACCTTCTTGCACATGTCCCTTCAACATGATCGCCGACAGTTTTGTTTGCTACTAGTAATTTAGTACGAATAAGGGGTCCAGCAAACCCGTCCGAATCCCTCTGCAATATTGTCGCGTTGTGCCGTGGCCGCCATGGCTTGCGATGCGGGTTCAACATTATCATGCAGTTGCTGAAGAGCATGCTGTTGTCGAATGTGCCAGTTTGATTTAACGTGCAATTTGTGGCGTCGCTTGGATTTACAAGGCCAGCATCCTCAGATCAATGCTTTGAAGAGGGCATCCTCACTTCCCTGTTAAAATTCCAAGGATAGGCCCTAAGGCCTCAAGCCTTGCTCTTAGCGATGTTAGATGTAAGTGAGCGACGATTGAGCATGTCATGTTTGAAGGATTCTGAACGTGCGCTGCGCTCAAGGTCGCTGCAAAGCAGCCTCCGTGTCGGCCGACGCATTGAGGGCACCGGTGCCAAGCTTCTCAGTTGCAGAACTGTTTCCTTTTGCAAGACAGCGAAAAGCCTACAGGGATCGAGCCGGTCCATCGGTCAAGGGAGCGGAAAGGAGCTTCTTGCAAGTCCTTTACGTCAGGTATTTCAATGTGTCAGCCTGCAGTCTCGGCCCAAGCTGTCGAATTCGATCAGGTATCGCGTGTACGAAGACATCTGCTCTGGCTCGCCTCACATCACCACGGCCGCAGAAACTCCCAGGCCATTCCAAGTTGCCGCAACAGCGTGTACAGGGCTGGGTATAGTGATGAGCATGGATCGAGGACTTTGTAAACATCCATCTCCGCATGCACGGAGCCAGAGCCTAAAGTGCTGATCAAGCTCCAGCTGCTAGACTCGAACAAGCCGTACAGGCCTACAGCCTACCCCCGAAGCCTTTACCACCCCGAAGCCCTCTACAGCCCAAAAAGAACTTCAAATCCTGGCAGGCTCAAATTCCCTCGTGGTGTGGTGCTCGTCGGAGCTGTCCTCGGTTTGCGCTACGTGCAGCGAGCTCAGATGGTGTGTTTGACATTCCTTGCCCGGAGGCTTCGGAATGCCACGTGGGTCAGGCCAAGAATTTTGCAATCTGCATACATACAGTCGAAGTTTGCAAACTCTGAAGGCGTCCAATAGAAGGAAGTGGCCTAGAGTAAACGAGGCGGCGACGAGCCTCAGAAATGACCGGAAGGTGGAGCGAGAGCTTCGAAAGATTCAATATACCAGCCCGAGAGATTGAAGAAGCGCCATGCATGTCATAATCAGAATCCACAATTTGTCAACAACACAAGTTTCCACAAACAAGAGGTCCGACGTGCCGTCGAAGGAGTCCGCACCACCCAGGCTGCGCATTCAGATCGTCAAGGCTGGCTGCAATTTCTGGTGAAGGGGAGTGGGGGTTGGGGGTATGTCGTGAGCAGCAGTGATGATGGCGACGCCGTTTAGATGATGGTGGCGGAGGAGTGTGATGATGGTTACAGACTTCGAATCGCAATCGACAGCACTCGTGTTCGCGTGGTTGTGGTAGCAGCGGTATAAGTAGAAGAAGGAGTGAGGAAGACAAGCTGCGGTTGCCCGCGTGAGTTCAATGACGGGCTGCGTGCAGGAAGCTCACACTTCGGCCGACCAAGAAAGGCGCCTGAAGAAGCTGCACGTTTGCATGGCATGTTTGCTGCAGATGCCGGTCCACGGGAGTCAACAAGTCTACGGCGTACAGCTTATTCGGGATGTGCCAATATAAGGTGATGTTCAGAGTTACGAAGCGGCCTGTAAGGTCCATGTCTCCGTGGGTCCAGGGCACATAAGGGGTCGGTCACCTGAGCCGAAGGAAAAGCGCAAAACAACAGACAACAGTCCGATCCCCCCGCCACGAAGTCGGTTTTGGCATTCCCTATAGAACCCAACACAACCCGAGAGAAGTTCCAAGGACACTGCTCTTTGCGACAGAGGACTTGACCCCACCGAGCTGGAAAGCTACTGAGGCCAGAAGACGGGAACCCAGGGTACAACGTGGATTTTAGGGTTTGCTCGGGTCTCCGCATCCCGAGTTAAGAGGTCCCTGCATCTCATGTGCATAGTAGAGGACCTGGGGGTCAGGTCGTTGGACTGAGCCTCCCTCAGGGTTGAAGCACGGTTCAGGAGCTGTAGTGGAATCTGCAGCATCCGAAGACCCACTCCGGTTACAGCTATCGTTGTGAAGATTGCCAAGCAATCTTGGTCATCTTGCCCCTGCCCCCACTTGCTCGCCGACTAGTTTACCTTTTGGAGGCCAAGACTGCAAGATTGCTTGGCAATCTTGGTTGCAAGCTTGGTCTAAAAGGTAAACTAGTCGGCGAGACCAAGATTGCAAGATTGCGTGGCAATCTTGCTCAAATAATTGTTCTAAATTCCCGGCACACTGCAACGGTAGCAAATGTCAAGAACACGAAGGCCAGCAATTCCGAAAGCAGCGATGCCATCCCGGGTTTGGGGGTAGGGACCACATGCCATGTTCCGGCACATGATTGAGACGAAAGGTCAAGCTTGTCTGTTTTCGGGTTGAACCTTCAAGGGGTCATCTCACATCAGACATGCCTGCGGCAGGTCTTGGGCAACGGCGCCTTGGCTTCTGTGGTACCTTCTGCTCTTAGCCTTGCTGTAGGCCTTGAAGCCCCAAGGCATGGTAGCACCAGGGAGGGAAGCCCCGTTTTACCGGCGCACGGCTTGAGGGAGCCTTCGTACTTTATGAGAGTCTTCGAAAATGACTTTCGTGAGATTATACTTGCCAGCAAAAGAGTGCGGGGATGAATGCCGGAGAAATGGGGCACAAAGAAAAGACCCAAGGATGCAAGCGGCCAAGCTCCCGAGTTCTCAGCACACACCAGGAAGCTTCGAAGATGCCATCCAGGTAAAAGTGAATCCAGCCGAAAACGTTATCGATAGCACGCGTTCGTTTCTAGACATGCTACAAGGAAGACATACTATGCTAACTATGCCTTACCTTGCAGGACTACACACTCTACATGCATCCACCACTCGAGCGAGGACATGGCTGGTGACCGGTAATACCCCGAAGATCGGAATGGTCAATGCTAGCGGCTTGCATTCGACTAGTGCCCAGTCTCCGGCGAAGGTTACGTGGACTACCCTGTCATGTTTGCCACTGGCATACGAGCGTTTGGAGACGACAAGCTGCACCTGGAAGTGCTGTTTCAGAACTTCTCGGGCACTGCGCGCCTCTGATGAAAGAGTCATGCTTAACTAGTTGGTGCTTCTTGTCCTTGCATTTGTTGCCGCTACGACGGGTGCTTACCAATGTCAGTTCTTCTTCATAGCGTTTGCAATGGCATTCCTTCGTGTTTGATGAGCGTGTAGGTTGAGGAACGGGACGACTTTTGTGTATCAGTTGGGTATCCATCAGCAGGTAGCACGACTTCCAATGGACCAGTAAAGAAGCAAGAAGCTGTAGGAACGGGCATCCACGATATTGCGTTTCTGGCAACCCATCGAAGAAGGGTGCTGAGCTCCCAAGAGTTTCTGAAAGGACCTCCGCCTGTAACCAGTAGTCTGCGGCATACTTGCTCGATAGGTCAACCATTGTTCCCGAAGTTAGTATACCCTGCCTGAAGGAGTCGAGCTCTGAAGCATTGCACGTCATTTCCGCCATCATCATTACCATGCTGGCTTCTACTCTCATCTTTGTCATCACCACCAGGACTCAAGGAGCGCACGCACACAGAGACACACACACACACACACGCGCGCGCGCGCGCTCGGACCACTCATCCCAGAAGAAAGGCATATCCCTGCAGACATGGGCCTTTCCTTCTTTTACGTGCCGGAGCTGCAGTCTCCCAGCACCTCCGAGGATGAAGGCCCAAGGGTATGGTCCCTTTGAAGGGCTGTTTGGGTCAGCTTTGTCCTGCCCCCCACGTCCGAAGGTGGCGTACCCAGAACCCCAATTGAAGAACAGCAGCGGTTTCAGTTTAGGTTTCTAGGCTGTCGAGGTCACTAAATTTTAATTTAGGGCTTTCAGCTTTCCGGCGCAATGATATTATGCACAGGCTTGCCAGGTTTAGATTGCTTCTCGGATGTAGTTTAGGTTTCAAGCTTACCGGCGGGTGGGGTGTTCAGAAAGAGGCTGACACGCAGCTGCTGTCGTTAGTGCCAGCGATTGCTTTTGCAGGGAGCCTTTTCGTCGGTCAATCCTCTGTTCATTTCGTTTCAGCAGGCAGCGTTCATACGAAGAAAGGTAACAGAAACTGCACTTGCTAAACGATCGTAAGAGCAGCGGCGCGGCTGATTCGTAAATTCATGTAAATTCGAAATTTTCCCAGCCTCCCATCTTGCGCCCCAGGCCGGAAGCTCCGAAATCAGAGATTGTGAATTTGTTTTTGGCTCAAGGGCAGCAGCCCTGTGAGCTTCCCACTGCCATTGACCCTGGAGACCGAGTGCAACACTTTGCAGGACCGCACGGAGCTCTCCTCCTACGTCATGGCCCGCCACCGTCAGCACAGATATCTCGTTCTGCGCACAAAGTCGGAGAAGGAGAAATGTGGACTTCCGTGTGGTGTTGTGGATGCCTACCAAGCCAAGTTTGTGGGACTGGACCATGCTAACTTGGCGACCGCAGCGCGCGTCCCTTTCGAGACCACCGGCCTGGACTTCAGTGAGGATGCCAGTCGCCTTCACCCGATTCGCTTCCCGGCGGCCGTGCAATCCAAACTTGGCGCGAACCACAGCTTTGTCGATGCTTTGTCGAGTTGGAGCTTCGAGATGAAGACTCCCTGCATCTGCAAGGCAACATTGAACGTTTAACTTCGTCCAATACGGGCCGGAGAATGCTTTTTTGCAGCTTTCAAAAGAGTATACTGATTTTCATTTTGAGCCGGATCATCAGAAAGCAGCCGCTGCCGTGAAGCGCCAGTCCGGGGGTAAACCGTCCAAAGCGGTTTGGGGCATGCAGGCTGTTTACAACCCGGACAACTGTTGCTTTGCAGCCATTTGGCGCGCATGCTTTGCCTGAATATGCCTGTTTGCTCTTTTTGTGCAAGTTGGGACACGAGCCACACCGCAGCAGTTCTACCAAAATGATAGTAGCCACACTAGCAGTGAAATAGGGGACAACAAGGACCGAAGGATCAAGATCAACATGCGGCAAATAATAGACGGCAGACTTCCATTCAACTTGTTCATCTTTTTTCAGATCAGTCGCTGATGATGTTTTATGGACCGATTGTCCCACATGCCGGCCGCAGAATGTCATGATGACATAATTCACCTTCAACTGATTTCTTTGCTCGACTACTGGATGCTTTGTGCATATCTCCGCTGGAGAAAATGAGAAGGACGTGCAATCAGGACCCAATGAGCACGCACCATGTTGCCTTACACGTCTGGGAGACCTCAGCAGGCATCGGTGCCATTTTGCGCATGATCTCTTCAGCATGACTGTGTAGCCTTAAAGTGCCACACCAAACGAGCGGAGCCTTTTGAACCCACCCGAAATACAAGAGGCACTGATAGCAATGGGCCAGCATTTCAGTTGTTTGGTATGACTTTGTGCTACACAGTCTACGTGTCGGATGGTGATGGATGGTGCCGTCCGCAGACCTGGTCAATTCAAGAAGGGAAACTGCATTCTTTCTGATTCTAAACAGCACGGACAGGGGTGGCGAAAGAAACTGCAGTCACGCAGCTGCGGAAGACGCGCACAGAGGCAAGATCGTGCTTTTCGGAATGTTAAGTTCAGCAGCAGACTGGAGATGCATGTGAGGTTGCATTTTCTGCAAATCTCTTTGTTTGTTTAGCTCATATTGGTAGCTTTTCGCGGACGTTGGAGTTGGCTGCTATATATAGGTCCTTCAATGATTAGCACCGGGTTCTTTGATGGCCGCGTTCTGGTGCAGGGCACAGCTGAATTTCTGGAAGGTTTAGGAAGTCTCTCGTCATACATGGAGTACTCAGCACACACGGCCAAGTCATTTTCATGCCAAGATGTCACGCTTTGCGAAGCGTTTCGTCAGTCACGTGCCTTGATTTGCCAAAACTTCACCCTCACGCCGCTACTATTAGTTTTCGGCTGGAAACATTTAGGGTGCGACTGCTCGCGTTGAGGCCGGCAGCCTTTGAAGCTAAAGGGATTTGTGTTTCAAGGTGCCGGTGAGGCTGCATAGCACCCATGCTTGCTTGCGCATTCTAATATCGGAGTCCATTGCAATATCGAGGCCATGAACTTCAACGAAGTCATAATTTGGGAATCGTTCTCCGCATCATGCCATCCTTCTCAGAAAGTGCCGACACCGCTCAGAAGCCATACTCAACCAAGTCTGACATGTCTGACCCACGACCTTCGGCTATTTGTAAATAGGACTGCCAGCGAACTGTCTGTTGAGGCAAAGGAGGAGGGGGAAAGACAGGCAGCAGCCACTTGGCCCTACGAGCGTGTTTTGCTCTGTATTGCGATTGCGTTCGTGATTGTCATGAGTATTTTGAGATTTACAGTACCTTCAATACACCCGAACTACTGGTATTCTCCGACAAGAGTGGTAACACCAGATAAAAGGTTTGCATGGTTAGACTCAGTTAGATTAGTGATTAGTGACAGGCGCCTTTGGTCGGCGCAGCCCGCTTTCATGGCTCAAGGGGCTCGGTGCTCAATTTCGACACGAATTATCGAGAATCTCTTTCTCGACACGGCCCTCTGCCGAAGCATTTTCGCTTTCAATCGGCTCCAAATCTCCAAACCCTGGCGGGGCCACACTACTCGTCCCTGTGGTCTACTAATCTTCGCCAGCAAGCACCTGCATCTTTCTTTTTGGAAGGGGTTCTCGAAAACACCGACGATGTATCTTCACAGATGGCAGTTTATGCTTAAACGGAATCATGCTTTGGACTTCATGCATCGCTCTCCTGCTAAGGGTCTCAAGATAGCAACTAGCACAAGCTCCCCCACAGCGGAAACCAAAGCGGAGGAAAGGGAAGCATCTGTCGGGCAGTCGGCGGCAGAGGCCTCGATTAGCAAGTCAGCAGGAAGGTCTGTTGGCAAGCTTTCAATTTGGTTTTGGGTTAGGTGAGCGTAGGTCGGTTCGTTGTGTTTATATATTGAAAATGTGGATGCGTCTGCAATGCGCAGTCGTTGTGTGCTGGTGAACACTGGTGAACGTACATGTGTTCTTTTGTCTATGCCACACCATGCAAATCAACAGCTCGGAAGATCGGCATGCAAGCCACGGGCATTCCTGCGTTCATATTTGTGCCTCCGAGGCTCATCAAGGCTTCAGTTCTTGTCGTGCCTTGGATGTTTGCTGTGTCGAACCACGGAAGATAGATCCCCGCAAGCTTGGCTCTCAGAGACTTGAGCAGTCTCATCCCGCCATTGATATGAAGGCCCCACAAAGCCAAGCCGTACAGCTCGACGAGGACGAGGAAGTCTTGGCACAGGAGAGCTTAGCAGATGTTTCTCGCTTGTTGCTGATTCTTCTGGGACCTTCGCGTTGAGGTACTTGCCGTGTTGTCGACAGTTGGCAGTCTAAGCCTCTGATCATGTCATGGTACAGTCCAGGCTGCCGTCAGAGCTCCCATGCCGCCAGAGGGTTCTCGAAATCCTCCAGCTTCGATAGAGCGGCCTGAGCTTCCACTCTAATCCGCAGCCCACAAGAAGCTCGGCCTACACATCTTCCTTTTGCAAAACATTGTAACCGCTCAGTTGTAGCTAGTAGATCCAATCGTTGCACTTCCTGTCTGCAGCTGACCGTCAACATCTCCAAACTGGCAGGGCAATTCCCGGAAATTGCACGTAAAGCTACGCCTGCAGCAAGGTCTCTCAGGTGCTTAACGGCCTCAGAATTTGGGCTTAGCGTTTTTGGGCTAAGATAGCCCGGCCCGCAGACTTGGACAGTTTCTGAGGGTGCAACAGATTCAACAGGTGGCGGCTCGATCCTTAACAGTATAGGCGCTTGGGCCGGAGGAGAGTGATGCTGGCGAGGGCTGGGAAGAGGAGCCTCTGAGCTGACAGACAATTGGCGTGTTTGTTTCAATGATCCATTTAAGACAATTGGAGGCTAACGCTGGCACTAGCGGGCCAGCTCGGGTTTCAAAGTGGAGGGTGCATCTTGGCAGATTGCGGGGATGTTGGAAGGCAGTCGCGCGGACGCATGAGATTAAGAGTTGAAGTTGCTACGTGGATTAGCGAACAAAACCGGTGTCTGCAACTTCGCAGGAGCTGCAGAATCACCTGGACAAGCAGGTCAGCATCTCGGAGTTGTGTCTGCCATATGTCCATTTGGTAGAGAACAAGGCGAGATCCATCCATGCACTTCTGATCATTTCGATGTGCACGACTTTTCGCAGGGTTGCACGTGCACGGGCTAAAACACAGCCGCATGGCTTCGGCTACATCCGGCATGTTGTTTTTGTGCATCATTGCGCCATACGTGCCGTTGGCTTTTCAAAAGTGTGCACGAGCTTCAGGAGCTGGCTCCTTAGGTTTTATCAGTCATGTTCGTATCCGACGGCGTCCTGCAATGCATTATAATAATGCATTCACCTTAAAGTGAAAAGATTTTTTGCGCATTTGCCACAAACGGCCCCCTCCAGCTCTTGCGCTATCCCTGCGTCTGTTCTTTAGGCTGACCCGGGCCTCGAGTTCATAGTGTGTGTGTGTGTATACATACATATATATATATACATATACATACATACATATATATATATATATAGATATAGATATAGATATGATGCAGGGCTGCCACACCC